CGTTTTGCGAAAAATCTGTACGTGATGAAGAAAAATGGACATTTTCGGATTCAGCGTACAGGAATTACTGTAGAACATGTAAAAATTTCAAGACAATAAAACTATCGCTGGTCTGTGTTATTGAAGAGGGTGACAGCATGACAGTTATCAGTACATTGTCCTTTACTGGTTAGTTTTGTTCTTGTTACAAAAAGTAAACATTTGATAGCAACTGAACCTATCTACCATGCACAAGAAGTCCTGTCATAAACAAGGCAACAAAGAAATTTGAAGGTTCATGGGCACTACATCCAAGTACTTGTACCAATGTATGTTCTGTACATCCAATACTGCCACACATTTGATTCTACTCACTGTCGATCAGTTGATTAACCCTGAGGGAACCACTCCAGGTCCTGTCCTCCCTTCTACAGGAATTCAAGGCCAAATTAGTATATTGCAAAAACCAGACACCACTTAACTAACAGGATCTTCATCTCATTTTCATGGTTCATTAGACTTGGCAAATATGAAGCTGGATCTTTGGAACCCAAAGATGGGAAACTACACATGCAGAACTTTTCCTGTGAGGTCTGTTTATCACAAGCAGAAAACCACAGCAAGAAGCTGGAAAAATATCCTACTGACTTCAATCACTTTATTATGGGAGGATAACTGATGAAACATTCACCACTTTTCACTCACAAAACCATGTGAATGAATTTCTTCGGTATTTAAGTGGTAAACATCCAAAGATAAATTTCACACTGAGCGTTCATAAGTATAGTTTACCTTTCTTGGATATAATTTAGTTTATAATCAGCAAAATAATTATAAAATTGGTACATATCATAAACGAACTTTTTCAGGGCTACATGTGCCTTTTTTTACAGTTTTGTTCCAATAGGATGTGAAGTAAATTTAATGAAAGTTTTAGTAAATCATACTTGCACAGTTGTAAGCAGCTATTATTATCTCCGTGGAGAAATAATTGGAATTAAGAAGTTTTTGGAACTACATAAATTTAACAACTGTTTTATTAATAGTAATATTAGTGAAATGCTGAACAAATTGGCTGTGTCCCTAAAGCCTTTTTTCCCCTTATACATGTATGTAATATGGACAAATATAGATGTTTGGATTTTAACAGAAACTAGTCTTTTGCAAAGAGCCTTCAAATATTTACCATTTCTCCAAGCAAATTATTCATACCCTTCTACACAGTTAATTTGTTCACTTCACTACTTAAGCAAAGTTCTTAAAGTGGCTTTGTCTTATGTTCTGATGCAGGCTGAGGTATTACTGGTTGGCTATTTGAGTTATTAGGTTCTGCATAGACTGTGGAATGAAGAATTTCATCAATAAAATCACTTTGACAGTCTTTGTGTTCTTTGGAACTGACATCCATTGAGGTGGCATACTCTTCTACAGATAACTCATCAACCTTCAGTTTGTCTTTGGCATCCATAAGCATTTTCGATGGCTGTAACAACAGAATTTTTTCTTCTTTGTAATCATTTGAAGCCTCGGCAACAGAGGCTTTGATCTCAATGGTAAACATCCATGACAGAAACAGCTTTGGCTAACTGACTGACATCACTGACCTTCCTGAACTTGCATGGTTATATTTTGATATACAAGCAGGCTATAAACTATGAATTTGCTAAACAAAAATCAGCCTGTAGTAGTCTGATACAAAACAAGGGAATAGATTCTTCTGTGTGAAAAAAAAAAGACTTGTATCTAACAGGAAAGTTACTTGAAATCTCTTAAACACTTAAGGTTGCAAACTCCTGAATGATTTATTCTTGTAAACATTCAAATAATAATGTTTTTCATAAAAACCTTAAAGCAATATCTAGTAGCATCATGATAAAACTATATATATACAAAACATGTTAATAACTTGCATGGTTATATTTTGATATACAAGCAGGCTATAAACTATGAATTTGCTAAACAAAAATCAGCCTGTAGTAGTCTGATACAAAACAAGGGAATAGATTCTTCTGTGTGAAAAAAAAAGACTTGTATCTAACAGGAAAGTTACTTGAAATCTCTTAAACACTTAAGGTTGCAAACTCCTGAATGATTTATTCTTGTAAACATTCAAATAAAAATGTTTCACAAAAACCCTTACAACACAGTTAAAAAAAGGGGGATTTATTTTCTGCTATCCTTTAGACATAAGGGTTTAATTATGGATGGTGTAACTCCCAGTATCATATAGAAGCATTTTAAAGATGTTGTGATCACAAAGATACTCCTAAGCACTTTAGTTTTAATATGAAAGAATACAAAGGGGCATCAGTTTCAATTAATTTATGAAGTCGAAGACTTAGATGAAGCTCCATTTCTCTGTTTCTCCAGACAATACTTTGATAAAGTTTTGCGTTCAATCATATTTACATCTAGTGAAGAGTTATTAACAGACTCAGAAAACTTCTCCATAAGGGAGTTATTTATTATTGTAGAACTACTACTAGAATTAAAGTCTGCTACAGCCATAGGTACTGTTTGTGTTACAGACCTTTGTCCAATGTGATGGGTAGACTGCTGATTATCCACGGATTTAGCAGATGAAAATAAATGCCTAAGGTTAATGTGTTGATTTTTCAAAGGGACTGGCTGATTTGAATTTTTGGTTTGTTTAGCTGAAGACTTGCCTTTTCCCTTTCCTTTCAATGACCTTGTATGAGTGGTCTTATGATGACTGTTGCAATAAGTTTCATTTTTCAATGGTTTTAGACCTTTAGAATTAGCTGGTGGAGTAAGGAATGTAAGTGAAGAGTTAAGAACTTGCTTACAAGGATCATTTTGGGCTTTCAAGAATATGATATAGTTGCCAGTTTTTTTGTGTAACATCTGTGGTTGTTTTTGAACAGCTTCTTCCTTTTTAGCCAATTTCGGTGGAATTTTTTCATTTTTTCTTTGAAGACAATCCTTTAAATCTGGAACTCCTATGGTTTTGTCCACACTATACCCTAGAACACAAAGTGTAAATCATAAAACATGTTAGGTTTCTTTTAATGTATGAAACTTTTAAGTTACAAATTTACGGTATGGCTAATACCTTTCTTCTAAAAATCTAAAATTAGTTGACTGCTGCTTTTGCTCATTGAATATAAAACTCAGCAAAACTTGAAAAATGCATTTAGCCATTGAAAGATTAAATAAGATTTCAACATTAACTTTTAAATATTAGATCTTGATTTAAAATCTTAAAAAAAAAGAACACTGAAGAATATATGACTAAATGAGATCTAAAAATTAGGTAAGATGTAAATAAAACACATTTTCAAATAAAATTTGAGGTGGTATTCCTTCAATTTTTTTTTATTGTGTCCATATTTTATGTAACTTATTCACTGAACTCTTTTCTTATAATTGTTAATGCATGATATCAACATTCCATTCGACTCAATTGTAAAACTACTCTCACAGTAAAACAAAATAACTGCCACTGATTGACACCACGATTTTTGTCACAGAGCTACAATAATGTAAATGATTTGGTTATCATATGTGAATAAGCGTTGTTATGACCATATATAAATCATTTATCAGTCTGTCACTCTATACAATCATAATAAGTAAGCAGATCAAATGTTTTACTAATAACCAATAACTGAACTGTAATCTCTTCTAGTGTAAAGTAAAAAAAAAAAAAAAATCTGCACAAAGATGTTTCAGAAAATGTACTCTTAGATTAGTTATTACTTGAAACTTGGTTAGAGCTTATAAGTGTTGTGAGTTACAATTAATCAGAGAATTTGTAAGTGTTGTATTCTGAAGCAGATTTTATGATAATTTAAAAGTTAGGTTGTTCTTTCTCTAGCTTTTTGTGTTCAGGTTGTATTACTCAGTCAGAAGGTTGTAGTTCAGTTGTTTCACCTGTAAAAGTATGAGCCCGACATTTTAAAATTGAGGAATCAAATCGGTAAATTAAAATTTTGGCTGTTCTGTCATTGAGTAGATATTGGTTGTTAAATATAGAGTCACCAGAGAAAATACAAACTAGCAACATTTTGTGTGTGCACTAGAAAAGTGTTTCTCAACCACCAGTTCAACAGATTTCACAAAAATTAACAAAAAAAAAAAAACTGACTGAATATTCATTTGCAAAATATAATGATTTTTCATTTTTAATTGTATATTAGTTGTCCACGATAGTTTAGGGAGGCAGCAGGCTTGCCCCAGCTATTGGAAAGGTTGAAAAATGCTGCATTAAAAAATATTCTATGGTTGCAATATCGCACATTCCACGATACTGTAGTATGAAAACACCACATACCTCACTCTCCTCTAGTATTTTATATTTACAAAATATTTACATTTTTCTAAATCCTGACTTAGAACATCATACATCTAACATAGTTTATTTGTAAAATTCAGAGCTATGGTTTACTCTCTGTAGCAGGCTCCAATCCCAGAAACTACCTACTGTTTCATAAAATAGATATAATGTGTCCTACTTTACCTTGTACATTTAGCACTGCCTTATAGCTGTAACACAGAGGGAAAATACTTCCAGATTCTTGTAATCCATTTTTCTGAGAGAAGGTGAATTTTAAATGCAGTTTTTGCATTTGTCTTGAGAAAGTTAAGGGTTGATTATGAAGTCTTGTCAATGTTTAAATTTATTTTATTTGCTGATTATGTGTATTTCAACTTTTTACTCTCATTTAGTTTGCTAAATAAAGGTCACTTGCTTATTTCTTCCTTAACTTTGAATTTAAGTGTACAGCACCAGACACACAGCTATCTTAATTTCTCTTGACAAAGTGTTAATTTTTTACTTGAACTTCATGCCTTCTTTTGTCTCTCTCATTAAAACAAATCACTACATTTGTCCTTCTACATACTATTTCCTTGAATCTCTAGTTACTGCAAAGTATAATGCTCAGTTTATCCTATCATCACCACAATATCTCATAATACTTTTCTACAAAAGTACATAAAATAGTTGAAATAAAAGGTTAGACATGCATGAAATGTAACTAGAAATGGGCAATGGTAATATTTTATTTTGTTAATGGCTTATCTCCTACACAATCTTATTGTTTATGAAGTTGAGAATATGTATACTTGGAGAAAAGTCTTCAAATTCAGTATAAATTATAATTTAAGTATAACTTTTGGACACTCAAAAAACTGCTACTTAACTATCAAAATATATTTTAGAGTAAACAGTTTATTTACATGTTTAAAAGAAAGCACTTAGTTTAAGATTTTACAGCTTATGAAATTTGATCAATCAAAAAGATATCTCTTGTGACATATTTCATTGTGTGGTTGTTTAAATAGCTGTAAGTAACATAAAAAGTAAAACATCATAAATTACTATAACTTACCATCATCAATAATTATGTACTCTTGAAAGTTTGTTTGAGACACAACTTTCTTGTTCTTTTGTTTTTCATAATAAAACTATCATGTTCAGAAAATACCAGAATGTTCAACAAATACCACTAAGATAGAATGCTTATGATATTACATGTAAGACAAGTCTACACTGCTTCACAGCCTCAATAGCACTGAATACAACTATTTAGATGAAATCTTTTAACTGGTGAGTTCACATTGAATAATTCAAGAATTAACTTTTAGTCAGATCAGTGAAGACAAAAGATCTGAGGTGTGTTTTACACATTTTTTGTTACTAAAATTAAGAACAATAACAGCAAATTATGCCTGTTATTATATGTGAATTTAAGACTACAAAATCTAAATTTAAATACAAAACTGTCATATTTAAACTGACCTTGTGCTCTTCGAATCTCATTTGCTTTCCTTTGTATCTCTAATAATGCCTGTTCATCATCTTCTTCAGAATTAGACCACAGAAAACAAGAATGACAGGTTGGATTTGAACAGTCTTTTTTAGGGGAACGTACATGTTGGCAGAAATGATCATAGCCTTTCTGTGAAACAAAGCGCAATTATATTTGTATTTTAAGCACAACTTTTTCTGATCCATAAATACACCTTTAGATTAAGTTACTTAATTATTATTTTAGAAAATATCTCACAAACATATCTGTATGCAGTATATGAAAAAAACATTATTTCTTAACTAAGATACTAACTTAATGCAAAAATGCAATTCACAAAAGTGTAAAATAAGAAACAAACTCAGCCCTTAATTAAACCCCCATTTTAGATAAATAAAATGCATTAAAGCACTCTGTACAAGTACTTAAAAGTATTTTACAAACTAAAGTAGTATGTTCTAGAAAGTTTGGCACCTCGAAACACAGTAATTTTTTGCTGCTTATTTCATAGAGTACTAGAAACAAAAGTAAATAGTCATAGTACAGTACATGTTGAAATAAAGGTACTTTACTTAACCCTTTTTTGCGACAATATAAGCCTGTTCATCAACAAAATATGCTATTTGTTTTTACTTTATAATTAATTTGGTAATTTGTAAATATATTTTTTTAACAAAAATTGATTTGAAATGTCATTTTTATATTCCCATTATATCATATTGTGTTTAATAGCTTGAAGAAATTGTGTCATCAGACTGATTGAACCAATTCAAAAACTCAGAGCAGAGATATGCCAGTATTCTTATATTTAATCATGTGATTGTCATCATTTTATATAATGAAAAATTTAACCAATAAAAGTTTTTAGCAGAATTGAAATTAATTATTATATTTTTACAAAATAATATAGATACATACATCATTCCAATAAATGAGCAGAGAAAACATGTGGCATTATAGCAAAGGTTTATGAAAGTAAAATGTTATGGAATTAAAATAATACTAGCCACAACCCGCAATATATTTGCTATAATTTTCAAGCCCTTATTCAATCATTTTAGCTATGCTTTCTTACAGTCATTACAAATTAGATCAATAAATCCTGGTCTATTTGAAAATTTTTTACAGACATAACTTTATTTAATAAAACTACATGCAAAGTAAACAGAGCATAAAATAGTTATAAGCATCAGTGTACGACACGGTTTTCCGAGATGAAACAAGCAAACAAAAATGAGGAATAAAACCCATATTAAAGAAAAAAGTAGCTAAAACATGTTTATAGTAGTCTATGATATGAACCAAAGCTACATTATTTCAAAGTAAAGTAAATATAAAGTTGTAATGAAGGCAAACATAGCTGAATATGGAAAAATGTCTGAAAGCGTATAAGTGATAAGCATATGGCTTTGAATGAACTATGCATGTATATTTTAAACCTAAATATGTTGTGAAAGCCCATAGAAATTGTATTCAGTGTAATTTTCTTCTTTTTTTTGTAAGAAATTACACACAGGCTATGTGTTCTTTTTGTAAATTACTTTGAAAATAAAAAAAAACTAAAGTTGAAATAAAAGCCAGTTGTCATGTGATGACAACGATATTGTGCCATAGTGTAGCATACTTGTTTCATTAAAAAGTTTGACTAAGCAATAAAACAAGTAAGGTTATTCTGAATTGAAAAGCCAATATACAATCCGAACGCCTTGGATATAGACCTTTCTAATGATATGAGATTTGTAACATTTGATCAAGATATTTGAGAAAAAAGTTCCAGAGAGACAAATGCAAGTGTATTATTTGTATAGATATATTAGTCAAAAGTTAGTAAACATTCAAACTACTTTTTTCATTGAGATACAAAGTTACTTCATATTCAGTATTGGTTTCTCATTTGAATCACACATCCACATGCTCTCATAATTTCATGAAGAGTCTTATTTTCAAGTTAACAAAAGATGTCAATAAAATTAATTTGCAAGAACAAAATTCATGTTTTCAAAACAATCTTGAAGACTAAAGAGACTGGAATTGAAATTAAATGGTTTTATATCTTTAGTGCTATGCATAGCCATGAGATAGCATTTACATTAAAACTATTTGTGTTATCTATAGAAGTTAAAGCCTTAGAGTATGAAACAGTGAATATTAACTAAACCATAGAGAGTGATTTTATGTTTTCATTTCCTTGACTATATCTTTACAAAAACCTGCTTTCAAGGTTTATAGAAATATCAAACTCATGTTTCCAGTTTTTGTAGTTCTATAATTGCCAATAAACCAGTTCAATTAATCAAATTTTTATGTTTTGTTCATGTGTCTGTAGCTAAGTGCAAAGCTCTACAATAAGCTATCTATAACATGCCTTCCACGTGGATCAAATCTTGGATTTTAAAACTATAAGCACTCATGCTTATTAATGAGCAACTGGGTGGGGTTTCAAATTTGGTACTCAAATCAACTGAAAACATAATTTTTGAAAACCAAGGGCAAAACTTTATAAATAATAAGAAATATCACGAAACTTTGATTAATGAAAAAGTTTTTTTTATGAAATGAAAATAGCACTATTGCTAAGTTTCTCAGTTTTATCTGTGCTAAAGTACATATTTTGACTAACAAAGAATTAGTGTGCTTTTATGTGTTAAAGTTGATTTTTGCTTTGTTTCTAAAAAGAAGTAAATATTTCAGTTCTTTAACAACTTGTCATTGTAGCCTGCAGTGTCATGAAAATATATATTTTTTTCTTTATTGTAATTGCTGATTAATCATTTTATTATGGGTGGGTGGATTCCACCAAAGAAACCATAAAGTATTAATACTGTAAGTTTTTTAAATGTACACGTATCTTCACGAAATTTTGCAGATTATCAGTAAACATTACAAGGCATTCATATACAAAATATCAGATTTTTAATTAATTATTTGCTCGTGCATTTTTTCTTCTTGAATGTTGACTATCCAACATGCTAAGTAATTTTGATTTTATGATTAAAAATACTTTAATGCATCAGAAAATTCTTAAATTTCACATGCAAAATCTCTATAACCTCCGGATAATTATCAAACGTTTTTTTACAAAAACTTTATATTTTATCTGTTATTTTCACTATTGTATCTCCATATGGGTTTGGTCGATTTTATTGAACTCATAACCACTGTGAAAAATTAAGAAATTGATACAAGTTATGCTCTTTTTTTTCATTCAAGAATGATTACAAATTATAACACTCAACCACAAATGTTGTCTAAATAGCTTAAATCTCATAACATTATACATACACACACATATATATCTGACTAACAATACAGAAATTGCAATGATGCAGCATACATGCACTAATGTTACCTATCCAATAATATAAAATTGGCCTTTACAAAATTACTTCTCTTGGCTTTGTTCTAGTGGACCAGTATTTTGTAAAATACAGTCACATTTCAGTTATAATACATTATATGTGTATACACTATTACTATTTACAAATAAGTATTTAAATTTCAGTTATTTTTCTTCAAACATAGAGCAGTAAATAAAGAAGTATAGGAAACAATTATCTCTTCTACTTATGAACTTTGTACTTGTCTGCTGCTTGCCATAATTTGCTAAGCCTTATAAAATTTTGTAAGTGGAGGATGTAAAACAAAATACTTTTTTTTTAGATTTTATATATGCATTTTGAAATAAAAAAAAATCATAAATTACTATATCAATACCACAGAATTCCATTGTTAATTTATCAGGTTTAGTAACCAAGCAGTATTTGTGACTAACAAAATATGATTTTTCAAGTTCCATAATGTCTTACCTTACTGCTTGGATTCTACTATGAAAAGAAAGGGTTCCCCAAATAAACATTTTGCAGAGGCTGAGAAAATCATGTTAGGGATATTCCGAGCTTTCGATTGGTTAGACACATGTCACTGAGTGAAGTAGGTGCACTTAAGCAAGCATTTCCAAAAATGGAAAAGGTGAGCAGGGCCACCTTGTCGATTCACTAAATATAACATCTCAGAAAATAGAAAAGATGGGAGGTTCTTAACATATAATTCTAGCTTGTCAATATCAGTAATTTGAGTTTCTAATTTTTAAGAAACTAAAGACTTTGTAGTTGTACATCACAAACATCTAATTTGAGTCAAAGCTGCATTCAACCTACCATGTGACACACAAAAATTGATATTTGGAATTTTTTTTATATTTACTTGTAAATTAAGAAATTAACTAATGTATAATAGTAAAATATGAATTATAATCTACAATTTGATACCAAATTTATTGAAATACATTCATAAAATGGTAGTTTAAAAAAAATTTTGAATATAAGTCTACAAACATGATGACAAGCCTTTTTACCACTGACCAAAAGAAGACCTGTCTCGATAGGGTTACAAGAATGCTGGCTGAATGAAGGAATACCAAACTTAATTCCAAAAGTAATTTAGTACATAGTGCAAACATGTTGTTTATCTTGTGTTACAATTCCCACAATTTTTTTTACCTTAATTTCATTGGGTGCAAGCAACCACACACACACAAAAAAAAGACAGACATTTGCATCAGTGTCAAGAAAGAAGATGGTCTGTCAAATAAATGTCACAATTTACAAAAAAACTTATAGATGAGTTTAAAGTCAAAGGCCATGATTTCTTCTAAATCTGTAGCAAATACCAAGGAAAAATAATTGATGGTTTCTAATGACTCTCTCTGATCATACCTTTAGGTTTACTTCTCTAATTGTAAAGATTAAATCCTATCACTAAAGAAAATATTAAGTCTTTGCAACCAACTTTTTTGTGAGATATGCAAAAAGATTTTTGCTGTCAGATGAATGAAGTATTCCTCGCTTTAAAGGGTTATGAATCTATTCAGTGTCTTTGTGTATTTAAATTGTAAACACATGTAAATGGATATTATTTGATGTGCATTGCATATTGTAACTCAAGAAGTAACAAACTTGGTTTTACACATTAAGAGATATATATATAACATGCACGATTTTGTAAACAATATAAAAGAAATACATTTTCCATTTATTAAAAGATTCTGAGCTTGAAATTTATAATAATGTAATGTTATATTACTGCAGTACTTATTCTTTGATGTTGGTGTAGCTCTCTTTAACTCTCTTGCTACAGGCTCGGTCGATTTGACCAAAAAATATTGACCCAAAATTAACCTTTAAAGTTTCTGTACTACAACATCTAATATGTTTTGTGTATCTTAACAAAATTTTGCAAGCTTTCAGTAATAATTAAGAGCAATTTGTAGACAAAAAAATCAGAATTTTTAATGAGGTGTTTCCACTAAAAATTTCTCCACGAATATATGGAGTCAAAGTGTTGACTGCTTCAAGTGCAAAGTGATTTTCTTATTAAGATTAAAAATACTTTTCTTCATCTGAAAAATCTCAAATTTCATTTGTATACCCTCTAAAACCTCTTAAATATATTTCAACCATTGTTTTTCTGTAAAACTTTATACTTTGTTATTTTCTCTACCCTAACTGTATATGAGGTTGGTAAATTTGACTGACCATGTAACCACCAAAAAAAATCAAAATCAATCTAAATTATCCATTTTTTCCTTTTATAATGACATCAAATAATATGAAACTACATTTATTTATCCTAAATAGCTTTATACTCATAACAGTATACATCTGTTTATACGTAAACTTTGTTTTATTACTCTTTGAAATGTGTATAACTAAAATTCCTGCCATAAAATTAGTAAATCACTTGGTGAACATGAAGCTCACGTTACCCTATCAAATTATATAATTCATGAGCTATTCAAAAGTTACTTGCGAGTGTACCTTGAGAAAATTTTTTATTATTATTATTTATGTTACCTAGTCCAACCTAAAAAAGTTTCTAATTATTATAAAGAAAGAATTCACATGAAAAACAATAAATATAGTAGTTACCTAAGTCTTTTTTCTTTTCTTTTTTGCTGTGGACTGTATGTGAAACTTAACCCTACTTTTTTATACTAATGGTACTACTGCACTAAATATTTTTTATTTAATTAAATGATGCACTAAAAAACACAGAATAAGAACACATAAAGCAGATAATGTCCTCTGATTATCACAATTTTTCAGGCTTTCTTCATTTATTATTATAAAGTAATTAAAATGTAAAAATTAGAAACTTTTTAAGTTAAATAAGGTAAAATAAATAATAATAATGATAAAAGTTTTTCATAAGATAAGCCTGTGCATTATGTAGATTGCAAATGTAAGGTGAGCTACACATTTGCAAGTGACTTACAATTTATATGGCACGAATATTAGTTACACACCATTCAAAGAGCAATAAAATAATAAAATTTAAATAGAAACAGATGTATACTGTTATGGATTTAAAGTTATTTAAGAAAAACAAACGTTGTTTTGTGTTACAATCTGAAGTCATTCTAGAAAGAAAAAATGGTCATTTACATTTATTTCCATATCTGTTTTGGTGGCTATGAGGTCAGTCAAACTGACCAGCCTCATACAGAGATAAGGTGGAGAAAATAACAGATAAAATATGAAGTTTTACAGAACTAAAAATGTTCGAAATTTACTTGGGAGGTTTTAAAGATTATGCAAATGAAATCTGAGATTTCTCAGATGAAGAAGAGTATTTCTAATCTTAACATGAAAATCACTTTGCACACAGAGCAGTCAACATTTTGGCTCCATATATTCATAAAGGAAATTTTTAGTGAAAATAATTCATTAAAAATTATGATTGTTTCTCTTCAAATGACTCTTAATGATTACTGAAAGCTTGAGAACATTGTGAAGATACATAAAATATATCAGAAGTTATGGTATGGAAACTATAAAGGTCAATTTGTGGTTACGAACGCGGCCAATTCAACTGAGCCTATAGTAAGAGAGTTAAGTATAAACATATAAATATTGTTATGAGCTTTAAGCTACTTAGCACAAACAACTGTAATTTCCTGTTACAGTTTAGAGTCATTTTAGAAATAAAAAAAGGGTAACTTAGATTTATTTTGTATTTTTCCTTATGGTGATTACAAGGTTGGACAAATTTACCAATTGCTCATAGAGTTAGGGTAGAGAGAATAACATAAAATATAAAGTTTTTCTGAAAAAGTTTGGTATTTATTTAGGAGCTTTAGAGATTATGTAAATGAAATTTGACAAATTTCAGATGAAGAAAATATTTTTAATCTTAGCATGAAAATCACTTTGCACTTGGAGCGGTCAACACTTTGATTCCATGTATTCCCAGAGAAATTTTTAGTGAAAATAATTAGAAATTCTGGTTTCTTTTGTGTACAAAAGACGTGTAATGTTTACTAAAAGCTTTCGAAATTTTGCAAAGATACACATAACGTATTATAAGTTACAGTATGGAAATGTGATGGTCACTGATTCAATCAAATCAGCCACGCTTGTAGCAGGAGAATTAAGTTGTTTTACAAATCTTATACTGCATATATAGTTTATCAAATAACCTTTTGTCTTTCACCACTTAGCCCAGCTCAGGAGTTCTGGTTTTGAATAATGGCCTCCTGGGAAGTGACTTATGGGAACCAACAGATATTCAGTAGTGTACAAGTTGAAAGAAATATCTAAAAATAATTCAGTCTGATATGGTTTTATTACTGCGATGCTTTGCATTTATGATGCAACTTAAAAAAGTAAAACAACTGTCAACCAAAAATACTAAAGTTGATATATAAACAATCACCAATGCAGAAATAGTTCTAGCTGGCTAAACTAGTGGTACCAGCATAAAAGCAACCCCAGACACATAAGCTGTCACACACAACAGCCTTAAATAACTAATCAGGTATAAAGTATCCATAATATATATATTAAACGGATAGCCAGTTTCCTTGAAAATCGTACTGCAAAAATAAAAATTAATAACACTAGATCTCAACCTTTTACCTTTAACACTGGAGTACCACAATGCTGAGTCCTTAGTCCCCTCTTATATACCTTATTCATGAACAATTTACCTAAACCTGACACACTTCTCACACTCGTTTCACAATATGCTGATGATATCGCAATCTGGAGCACCTCCAGAGACCCAACATTTGCAGTCAAGAAATTACAAAGATTCTTAAACAAAAGTATTGCATGATGCAACAAATGGCATATAATACTTAATCCGAAAAAGATACAAGTTATCACTTACAACAAAAGCTTAAATAGAATGTACAAATCTCTAAAAACTGTAAAACTCTCTATTAATGGCTCTAATATCTCTCTAACCAAAACTGTAAGATTTCTCAATAATAAACTTACCTGGCACTCTCAGTTTAAAGAAATCAAGTGAAAAAAGCTTCCAGCAAGAATAGGACACCTCAGAAAAATAAGCGGTGACATTCTAGGATGCAAGTCACCCAATCTCTCGCCCTCTCTCACTTACTAACTTAATAACATATAACAATAAATGTTTGAACTCAACCTGAACAGCACCAAGTTATAATCTGTTTCAGTGTCAGATTTTTTATTAAAGGAAAGCCATGATATTACAGCAAATTTTCATGAACTGTTTAATTGTCAGAAATACGTTACAAATTCTAAATTTGAGTAGAAAAAGAAATTTTCGAAAATGATTCATTCAGAAAAGCAGATATTTATTAAATTATGCAAAGTAATGTAACTTATGTTATTTTATTCAAGCAGTTTCACACAAATGACTAGTTGATGATGTTGACCCTTTTGGTGTGTATGAAGATTCAATTTTTTATCATCTTAATTTAAAACCATAGCATGGTTGCGTACTTCTGCATTTATATAAGTTCTGTATTATATCCAGATGTTGTCAGGTATTTCTGAATCTTTCTACACCAAAAAAAAAACTAGGTACAACCAGTACTGAAGACAAATTTTCATGAAATGGTTAGAGAGAAACACTCTATAGTTATACATAAAATGTATGATTGTTCACAATGTTTGTACAGAATTTTACAAATATTTATACATATTTTCTTAAAATAACTTTCCATGAACAAATAAGAATAATAATAATCAAATAACCTTTTACTAAGTACTCACTATCTCTTTTCGACAAATATAGCACATTATGGCACCACAGGAACATATAATCTTGTTACAGCCAGAATCTTTAGTGAACTTGGCTTTACACTTGAGACACTGACGAATTTTGGCTTTGGCCATTTTTTCTTCACTGGAATGACAAAAAAATATATAATTATTTTCTCTTCTTTAAAAAATAAACATGCATTTCCCAAAACCACCAAAGAGTATCTTTGTTGTCTAAACTCAAAACTGTTCACAAAAGAATGTTAGTTAAATCAAACATGACAACTTTAAACAAGATATTGAGAATGCTTAAAATTTAAGGGACACAAAAGAAAACTATTAGTTTAAACTGGCCTCAGTGTTGCAATCACCAGACTTTTTTGAATCTTTAATTGTGATCAATATATCAAAGTAAATGAAAACTTCTTTATTTCATGCTTTCATAACTAGAAAAATAATATTTCATTATTCATTTATATTGAAATAAATATTTTCAAATTATCTGTTCAGGTATTCTGCATTCAGTTAACCCTATGTGCACAGTGAGAGTCAACGTGCACATGCCAAGACCTTTTAAACATGGTATTATGTATTTTATGTCAAAAGTTATCAAGTATTCATTTTACCCTACATTGCTGATTCAGTGATAGTTCATATTAAAGAAGAGTAAATTCCAGATACAGTATACTATAAAAAAAAACAAAAAACTAGATATGTATTTTGGAGGTTCTTGAGGAAATGCAAATACAATATGCAAACTGTGTAATGGTTAATCAATTTCCTAACAAGTACCAGATAGTTAGACCTAACAACAGAAGATATGATCAGAAATAAGTGGAATATTCATCTTTGAAACTAAAATTTTCATAGTGTCTGAGAAATAATGACAAAAAACAAGTTTAACAAAATTAACACAATCTTTATTATAAAGCAAATCAAAACAAACTGCCTACATACTTGTCCCTACAGAAAAGCAGTAACTTCTTCCAGATCATGATTAGATACACAGACTACTACTTTCAAACTAAACATTCTGATCTTAAGTATATCTACTCAAAGAACTCCAGGTAGAACTGATCTAAGATTGTGTATTTCAATTCTACATGTAAACTCAGATTCTTTGTCTAGTTGATAGCATCACCTCATGACCCTTGTTCTCTCAGAGCATTGGTTAGCTGTAATATACAGATATTGCCAATTTGGTCAGCAAAGGATATCATGGTTTCTAATCATTTCAACAAGGATGCTATATGTTACTGCAACATCCCTTCTAGCAGAATAGACATTATCTACTATAAAAAAACAACTTAAAATAAAGGCAAACTCAACTTTCTAGACTACATGGTTATGCTAAAACTGCATTGAAACTAAATAAATAGATTTTTTTTAAATTCCTATATAATTAAAAGAGGTAGGAAGCATATGATATGCCTGCATATCACAGGTGTAAAATACTTGTCAACTTGTTATAGTCATCACCATAGGCTAGGATTAAAAGCTACAGTAGTCATTCAAAAATGCTTATACTGCCTGACCAAGTATCATGTTGCTTCTCCCCTGGGATTTGGGTTATACCAAAGTAGACGACTGACAACGAAGTATGTTAAAATTAAAATGAGCTGGGGGTAAATATTCCCTTGACTGATAAATGAAAACGATCATTAAATAAGTAATCTACACAACGTGGTCACAAGTAAATAGACACCACCTTTTCAGAAAAAATGAAATTTTTCAGTCATATTTACATGAATTGATATATTTATAATTTAATTAATATCTAGTATTCCTTTTGCTTCGTGGAGTTCGTTGATTCTTTGGGGCATCGTGAGAATCATCTCGTCAATTTTAGATTGTGGGATTTTTGCCCACTCTTGCTTCAAAACTTGGAGTAGATCGCTCTTCGAAGTTGGTTTTTTTGGTTGTTTCTTGACTTGCCAGTCGAGTATGTCCCAGAGGTTTTCGATGGGGTTCATAACAGTAGATTGGCTCGGCCAGGGCAACTTCTGGATACTATTTTCTTCCTGCCACTTTTGGGTGTTTCTAGCAGTGTGACACGGTGCTCCATCTTCCTGGAACAACGTAATCGACGCTGAGACCATCATGCTTCACAGTTGGCTGCAATTTGTTGAGCCAAAACTCTTGGTGAGGCATTCTCCAGACCCATATCCTTCCACTGTCCAAAAATTGAGCAAATCTTGATTCATCTGAGAACAATATGGTTTTCCAAAAGTCCAGAGGCTTGGTCATCATATCACTTGCCCACTTCTTTCATCTGACTATGTTAGCAGGTCTTAATAAGGGCTTCCGTCTAGCTGCTCTTCAACGATAACCCAACCTGTGGAGAATCCGTTGAACAGATTTCAGGCTTATCCCACCAACTTTGGCCACTTTTGCAGTCGTTAATCTGGGATCCATTTCGATGCTCCTCTTGACAGCCCGTTTTGTCCTCTCCGATGGACCAGGACGACCCGGACGCTGCTCAGTTGTTTCCTTGCCGTGTTTCCTGAACTGCACGATGATTCTGTTGACTGTCGAAAACGGGATTCCCAAATTCTGCGAAATTTGCCACTGACTTATTCCACCACCTGCTTGAAAACCAACCTTCATCTAACAAAATACTGAC